GCGCACACAGCGGCCTCTCGCGGATTTGCGAAAACAAAAACTGCACAAATACGTACCTCCCGTATTTCACGCTCTCCAGAAACGTCCGCTGGACTACAATTCCAGAATGAGCCCGGGTTGAATTCGTATACATATTTTGCTAAATAATTGATAGGGCCAGACAAAATCTGCAGACGTTTTTTTTTTTTGCTATTTCTGCGGAGAATTTCAGTAAAAGTTTGCAGAACTATTTTGGGAGTATCATAACTAAAACCTTAATATAAAAAATAAAAAGTAATATCTTTTTAACTTTTATTTAATGTTTAAATTGCAAATCTAATTAGATTCACATTATTTGGTAATTAAAGCAAGTTTGTCATATAATATATCCAGTAAAAGACAGAAAATATTACTGTACAAACTGCATTGTACATAAATCAGATGAACATTTTCACATTAGTCAATAATATTACTGAAATAACAAAAAAACTGAATAAATATAGATTTGCACACATTTACTCAAGTAAATAAACAGAATTTATGATGGGCTAAAAATCTGCAGAAATCTGTGCGCGCAGATTCCGGGTGGACCTACTAATTGATAATGGTTAGAGCTTTAGACACAACAGTATCTGAAAATCACCACTGATTCATATTAAACAGCATGTTGATTTACAAGTGAGACAGAAAGAGAGGGCTTTGTCATGAATATTGATGGCCATTCTCACTCTTGACAAAGAGCCGCCTCTAGTGGGCCATCAGAGGACTGTTATTTACATTTTACAGTTTTTCTCAGTGGCTTTGGTGCATTTCTCACAACACTATTTACATTTGCACAACAGTTAATGCATTTCTCAAAACAATTAGTCATTTGTGCACATCCTAGTAGCAGTTTCTCATTCCTTCCAACAAATTGCAAATGCTTTTGGACATGCATCAATTGCTTTCATTCAACTCTCTGCTGTTTATAACATGATCATCTGCTTATGTCATGTCAGTCAAAATAAACTAAACTTGTAAATGCTGAATAATCATTCTATATAAAACTAATAGTCCTCATTTTATTACTTGAGTCATTACATACAAAAATGTTGAACTAGTTGTCAAAATCTGTGATGCAAATTTTATAAAACAATTTGAACAATTTGATGAATGATTTACAGACCTGTGTATGTTGTAGGTTCAGTTCCAATAAGTACTGCAATATTGTGTACAGTTGTGCACTGCTCTACCTAAAGGGAGTTGATGTTTGTTGTAAATAAGGGTGTGTTTATTATTTTACACAATGCTGTGAATAAATTAGGATTGTAAAGAGCAAATGCAGTAAAAATGTGAAACATACATATTCAGTGTCTTGCACTCAGATACCTCACTAAATGCAGTGATGTCTCACTTTACTGTAGTTTTCAAATGGCTGTGCAAATAGTATACGGTGATGTCTTGAGCATTTTCAGGAAGTCTCATCAAAATCTGACTTTTTTGCATTGAAAAAATGTCCAGAGTAAACTGTCATAATGAAAACATGACTTAGCCATCTTGTTCATTAACAATGGTGTCAGCACTTGATGATACTGACACTTTGATTGACATCAATACTTGCTTTTAAGCAGGGGGGGACTGGGACTAAAAATCAGCCCTGGCACTGTAGCCACACAAGCCCATATTACCACACCGACACAGCCCCACCCAAGGACACGCACATTCACTACTTATATAGGTGTACAGATGGTAAAAAGATATAAGCAGTACCTATTTAAGAGTTATTTAAACATTTAATGTGTGTGACTGGAACAAAAACAACCCATTTACATATGCAATCATGTCATTCATTTTCTTTTTGGCTTAGTCCCTTTATTAATCTGGGAATCGCCAACTTATCCAGCATATGTTTTACACAGTGGATGCCCTCAAAGCTGCAACCCATTACTGGGTTACCCAATTCCCAATTGGCCTACCCAATTCACCTATAGCATGTGTTTGGACTTGTGAAGGAAATCAGAAGGAAACCCACGCCCACATGCAAAATCCACACAGAAACACCAACTGACCCAGATGAGGCTCAAACCAGTGACTTACTTGCTATGAGGCGACAGCACTTCCTACTGCGCCACTGCACTGCCCCCTTTCGAGACTAGTTCAGTAAATTTTATGTATTTGGCAATGTCTGACTGCTTTTCCCTTTTTATGGTCCATCTCTGTCAATTAGCTTGTGTTGCACTTACTGTTTGTTTGACATTCTTGCCAGATTTTGATTACTTCTGCGTAACCTCAGATCCAGGCCCATCTCGAAACCAGCTGATTGTTGCCGATTGGGCCAATGCTTAACATTGACTATTATTCTTACTATTATCACCATCATAATATTCACATCTCGCAAGAGATAAAAGCTGCCTACATTTAAAAAACAATACATATGAAAAAATAAAATAAAAATAGCTGACCGGCCCACATTTAAAAAATGGTCCGGCCCTTCTGGCATTTGCCAGAATTGCCAGATGGCCAGTCCGCCCCTGCTTTTAAGGAATGAACTATCCATTTTGAGCATGTGACGCGCTTTTGCAGGTTATCAGCTAGATTTTGCGGTTTGTACTAATTGTTTTGAGAAATGCATTAACTTTTGTGCAAAAATGCACTGGTGTTGTGAGAAAGGCACCAAAGCGACTGAGAAAAACTGTAATTTTAGCCCACAATGTGGATATAAATAATTATTGTCAAAGGCTCACAGTGATTTGAGCATTAACAGTACTTTGTACTTAGTTTCTTCAGATTTGAGCCCCTGCCATTTTTCTTGCCCAAAAAAGTATTTGGAAAAACACAAACATGAATTACACACCTCACCCTGCCCACCAAAGGGTGCTAGCTTCTCAGTAGTGATGATCATCTGGCTAACAGTACACACGAATGTGAACACGAGACAATATGCATTAAAAAACAAATTACATTATAATGCACATCATCACAGCAATAACTTAAATTTGTCACGGGGGTTTAATCAGCAAGAGTCGAGAGCGATTTGATGAGTGGAGCGTAGTATGTTTATTGAGTATATCATTGAGTGAGTGAGAATAAACTGCCTACAGTGACCTCTTGTGGCCATTTTCAAAAACTGCACAGCAAAAAATTAATAAATAAGGTCAAGAGCAAGACCACTACCAGAAACGTTTTTTAAATACATACATTTAAATTTATGCAACATTATTCCATCAAATAAGCTGATCAGTCCATTAAAACATACAAAGAAGCGCAGTGATCAAAAAGACAGCATGTTTAATCAAACACTGCAATCTTACTACTTTTGGGTTATTTTGAGACAAATCATTTTCTTATATGTTTAGAAACCCACATTTATCCCATCAAAGTAAACAACAAAGACAAATATCATAATTACTTTTCTCCAAAACATTGTCACATTTAACAGGGGCCTGTTCCATAAACCAAGCTCAGAGAAAAAAGCAGGTTATTTTGGTAAGTCAGGTTTATTAATGGCGGATTCTGTTTCATAAATCAAATTTACGATAGTTCAAACTCATGCAGTAACTCTGGCATATTATGCTGGGAAACTAGCTTGGTCCGGGGCAGGTTAACTCTCAGGCTAAGTCTTAAATTCAAGCTTAATTAAAGCAATGTAAACATTCACCTGCCGTAATTTGATGCCATTTTAATTCACCTAACCTCTTAATAATGATTAAAACTTCATACTTAATAGTAAAATATTTATACACCAAACATCTTTAAGAAAAGTTCATTCATTCAGTAATTTTCTTGTTGGCTTAGTCTCTTTATTAATCCGGGGTCGCCACAGCGGAATGAACCGCCAACTTATCCAGGACGTTTTTACGTAGCGGATGCCCTTCCAACCGCAACCCATCTCTGGGAAACATCCACAAACACACACTCAAACACTATGGACAATTTAGCCTACCCAATTCACCTGTAACGCATGTCTTTGGACTGTGGGGGAAACCGGAGAAAGCCCACACGAACATGTGGAGAACATGCAAACTCCACACAGAAACGCCAACTGAGCCGAGGTTCGAACCAGCGACCTTCTTGCTGTGAGGTGACAGCACTACCTACTGTGCCACTGTGTTGCCTATTCAAACAAGCTATTAACAAATACAAACTACAACATTTCAACTACATTTTGATAGGCTACTGCTCAAAGATTGACTTTAAGGCTGCAAACCATGAGTGGAATAATCGGGAGATGGATCTGGGCCGAGCAGTAGCCGCACTTTATTATTAAATATAGATATTTTCCCATGCGGTGCAGGAAACACAAGTGTCAAAGGTCTCACAACAGTAACGTGCACGACCAGTTATCTAGATAAACTCAGATTTGTTAAATCAAATGATCTTGCTGTTATGGAACCAATTAAAGCGTGGACGCTTAGTTCGACTCATTCTAGTCAGGCTTTAATTTCTGCTTTTCTAATCAACGTTTATGAAACAGCACCCAGAACTGAGGAAAACTAAATATTTTGATCTGGATCGCAAAACAGAACCGCATTCCCTGCTGAAAAATCCAGCTTAAACCAGCCTATGATGGTTGGCTGGTTTTAGCTGGTTGACCAGCCTGGTTTTATAGGGCGGTTTTGGCCATTTCCAGGCATTGCCAGCCTGGTCTTAGCTGGTCAGGCTGGGAGATGACCAGCTAAAATCAGCGTAACCAGCCTAGTTATGCTGGAAGCCAAGCCAAAACCAGCCATATCCAGCTTAAACCAGGCTGGTCAAGTTGGTTTTATCTTGTCATTTTCCAGCCTGACCAGCTAAAACCAGGCTGGAAAATGACTGGAAACTAGCCTGGAAATGGCCGAAAACCCTCTAAAACCAGGCTGGTCAACCAGCTAAAACCAGCCAACCATCATAGGCTGGTTTAAGCTGGATTTTTCAGCAAGGTTAGGTATATTCATCATGTTATAAAGCAGCATAGACTTTTATTATTATGATGCGTTCACCAAACGCAAATGACTTACTATTAAACATTATAAAACTTAATTTTTACAACATAAACAGTAATTCTAAGCCACAAAGCCACTTTCAGACCACAAAACCGTTCTTTTGTCGATAGTGATTGACATGCAGGAAGCCAATCAGCATTCGCTGAGCAGCAAACAGTAGCCAATCAGCATTCGCTGAGCCACAAACAGGCAAATATCCCGCCCTTGGCGCGCAGTGTATGGAGTGGATGAGTATGAATCGGGTCGCTGACTAACGCCAAACTTTGCCGTTTTCTACTTCTGTTACGGGTGTTGTGCGTCTTTTCAAAGTAAGTGTGTTATATCTGACTTCTGTAGCGTTCGCGAGTGTGATATGTTTAACTTTGCTGCCGATTATCCCTTCAGGAACGAGCAATTTTACCTTTATTCATAGCTTGCTAATGTGATCTGTGTAGTTTTCATTCATTTGTATTTCTAGTGTAATTCACTGGTTGTCTATTTGCTGCGCGTTCATGACTTCAGGATGCGTTTCTCCGGTTGGCAGAGAGGGACAAGCGTTTTCTAAGCTATAATGCTAAAGTTAGCATCCCAGATCTCCTGCTGCACCTTTAATGCAGATCAAACCTAGGGATAGTCGACAGCAAAGTTAAACATATTTCACTTGCGAAAAGACAGATATATAACACGTATAATACACTGCATCTCAACCAAATCTCTTTCCACACTGAGTGCTGGTGAAAAAATAATATTTTTTTCTATTAAAAATTCCTCCAGTGAGTAAAACAGAGGTAAAGTTGGTTTTATATACGCACATTCGTTAATTTAGCAGTCTCTGTATTGTTTACCATGTTACTTTGAATATTCGATAGGAATTAGTATGCAAGTATGACTTGTAAACAACATTAACACTATCTAGTTCACTGTGAACAATGCTGTACTTTGATAATCATTTGCTGCTAATATCATTTCCCTGTTTAGAAATGGTAAACATTGCTTTTCTGAAATTATATTATTAAGGGGAAAGTCTGAATATCCAAATATAAAACCAACTTTACCTCTATGTGAGTAAATGAGGTATTTTGAATGAGAAGTTGATCATCTTAGTTTCAGGCAATGTGTTCTCACAATCTCATGACCTTTAGGGTCTGAAATCAAAATAAATAAAGTTCTGTTTTAGCAGAAAAGTCGCTAAGCAAAATGTGAAAGTGAACTGGAAATATTGGATAAATAAAAAACATGAGCACGTTATCTGCCAGATATTAAATCTGCACAAAGCATATTTCTGAAACAACCAGTGAATTACACTAGACATACAAATGAATGAAAGCAACACAGATCACATTAGCAGATATGAATAAAGGTGAAATAGTATATTTTTGAATAGTAGATATTCAGTCAGTCCCGTTTAAAGCAGAAGCTGGTCTTTTACTATCTTCCTATTGACCTGTGGTTCTCTTTGAATCTGGGTTTTTATTAGCCTCCTCTGAATTATTTGCTCCCCTGTTAATTTTTACTCCAATTTCTGTTTAACAGAGAAGATTTCTTCAACACATTTCTAAACATAATAGTTTAATATTTGATTTATTTTATCTTTGCCATGATGGCAGTAAATAATATTAGACTAGATATTCTTCAAGACACTTCTATACAGCTTAAAGTGACACTTAAAGGCTTAACTAGGTTGATTAGGTTAACTAGACAGGTTAGGGTAATTAGGCAAGTTATTGTATATAATGAGGGTTTGTTCTGTCGACTATAAAAATATAAAGCTTAAACTGGTTGATAATATTGACTTTAAAATGGCTTTTAAAAAATTAAAAACTGCTTTTATTCTAGCCAAAATAAAACAAATAAGACTTTCTCCAGAAGAAAAAATATTATCAGACATACTGTAAGAAGTTCCTTGCTCTGTTAAACATAATTTGGGAAATATTTAAAAAAGAAAAAAATATTAAATCGTTCATATATATATATATCTATGTGCCCCCAACAGTGCTGATATACAGCCATATCGCACTGCTACGAGTGTGATATTGCGTTTATACAACAGTTTGACGGCATAATTGTGTATATAAAAACAAAATCAAACATGGAGAGCCTCAAACTCTTTTGTATGAGGAACTACTTTCTTCTGGATTTAAATCATAAGCTGACAGTTAAACAGTTCAGTGTGGATCTTTTAAACTTTAGATCTGTAGTGTCGGCTTTTTGCTGGTTGTATGTGGACGGAGTAATACACAAAGGGTAAAGAGGCTGTAGGAGTTCTGATATTGCAGAATATCGCAAGACTATCAGCCAATCAGATTTGAGAACCAGACAGAACTGTTGTGTGTGTGTGTATATATATTAAGTAAATATAATATATAATATAATAGAAGGCACAACAACCATTCATACAAACATTTTAGAAAAAATGTCAGACTGCTTTACCCCTGCTTTAGATTGTGGTTTTTAACTGCATATTTCCCTCCAGCGTGCGAAAGCAACCCTGATACTGATTCAGGATTTAGAAGTTTTGATTCTGCATTCTTGGCAGAAGCCCTTTCAAAAGCAATCTTTATTCTTAGTCTTATATCCGTTTGTATGTCTAGTGTAATTTACTAATTGTGATTGTTTCAGAATTATGCTTTGCGCAGATATAATATATCTAACAGATTATGTACTCTGTTTATTCAATGTTAACAGTTTCTTTTCACTTCACATTTAGATCATTTTTGAATGTCTTTCGTCTGCTAATACCTAACTTTATTTACTTTGATTTCAGACGAATGAGATTGCGTGAACACTTTGTGTGAAGTGAAGATGATGAACTACTAAAAGCTGGAAGTACCCGAGTATTTTCAACTGTATTTTCAACTGCACTCGGTGTGGAAAGAGAATGGTTGGGATGCGAAATAGCCGCAAGATTCACAAGATGAGCCACGCTGGAAAGAAACCAGACACATGCACTCAATGTGGGAAGAGTTTCACATGTGCATCACACCTTGATAAACACATGAGGATCCACACCGGAGAGAAACCCTTCACATGCGCTGAATGTGGGAAGAGTTTCAGACAATTAATACACCTTAATCTACACATGCGGATCCACACCGGAGAGAGACCATACGCATGCACCCAGTGTGATAAGAGTTTCGCACATCCATCGAACCTTAATACACACAGGAGCACTCACACCGGAGACAAACCATTCACATGCACTCAATGTGGGAAGAGTTTCATACGATCGTCAAACCTTAATCAGCACATGATGATACACACCGGAGAGAAACCATTCACGTGCGCTCAATGTGGGAAGAGTTTCACACGATCATTAAACCTTAATCAGCACATGAGGATACACACCGGAGAGAAACCATTCACTTGCGCTCAATGTGGGAAGAGTTTCAGACTATTATCAAGCCTTAATCGACACTTGATTATCCACACTGGAGAGAAACCATTCCCATGTGCTCAGTGTTTTAAGAGTTTCGCACATTTAACCAACCTTAATAAACACATGAAGATCCACACCGGAGAGAAGCCAATCGCATGCACTCAATGTGGGAAGAGTTTCCGACTATTATCACAACTTAATCTACACATGAGGAGCCACACTGGAGAGAAACCATTCGCATGTACCCAGTGTGACAAGCGATTCTCACGTCTATCACACCTTGATCAACACATGAGGATTCACACCGGAGAGAAACCATTCACATGCGCTCAATGCGGGACGAGTTTCAGACAGTTATCGCAGATTAATGTACACATGCGGATTCACACTGGAGAGAAGCCATTCATGTGTACCCAGTGTGGTAAGGGTTTTGCAGACCCCTCATCAGTGAATAAACACATGACGACCCACACTGGAGAGAAAACACACAAGTGTGACCAATGCGGTAGGTCATTTTCAAGGAGTTCAGTTCTGAAGATCCATCTAAGAACTCATACAAAGGAGAAACCGTATTCATGTTCAGTGTGTGGAAAGAGTTTTACAGCGCTGTCTGGGTTTTGGCATCATCAGAAGATGCACACTGGTGTGCGAGAGTATTACTGCTTCGAGTGTAAGAAGACTTTCATCACCGCTGAAAACTTGAAACAGCACCAAAGGATTCACACTGGAGAGAGACCGTACAAGTGTTCGCACTGCGACAAGAGATTCACTCGATCAGGACATCTGAAAGCACATGAGAGTATTCACTCTGGAGAGAAGCCATACGCGTGTTCACACTGCAAGAAGAGATTCAGTCGGAAAGAATACCTGAAGGCTCATCAGAGGATTCACTGAGCAGTTTGCTAGTCTGACTTGCATAACTTGTGGTGTGATGAGACGCTTGCTCCATGAGAACGAGACGAGATTTTGTACAAAATTTTCAGTAAATCTTCAATAATGAATTAAACGAATTAAAATATTCTATTCAAGAGTTCACATTTGATAATCTGATAATCAATCACAAAAAAGAGCTAACTAACCAGCTTATTGGAGAATAAAGTCAATACTGAACTGTCATATATCATGGTCTTAAAGGGCCATGAAAGCCCCTCGTTTCAGCAGGGTGTTTTCACACCTCTACTTTGGAAAAAGGCAGAAAAGTGGGCGTGTCCAGCTCTGTTTAGGGGGGAGTGTCGGAGGAACTAAAGTGGGATGGTGTGGGAGTGTCTATTTGGGCACGCGCGAGTTTCAGTCAAAATACACACAAGAGAAAGTGATGGTGTATTTTTTACAGTCATTGTGTTTAACCTACATGGACATCTGTAGTTGAATTATTTGCCAGATTATTAAATGTTGGACTTTAACTGCAGTTTGGCTCTTTCATTCAGGGAATTCATTCATGCCCCTCGCGACAAACGTGATATTTGATTCGAGGATCTGCTCTAAGCGTGTATTTTTCATGCAATGTTTGATACCACACGGCGAATGAGAGTAAAAAAGCTCCGCAATTCCCGGAAACTTAGATGCACACGGCAGGTAGCGTCAGAAAGCCGGGTGTGTTATTCCGGTCACAAAATGCGGTGCTAACAAGTTTGCACTCAGTGCAATAGTTAACTTAATTCGATACGAACAAACTGAATAAACAAAGAGCGCTGGTCGCTCACTTACCAAATCTGTAGAGACAGGACAATCACCAGCAACTAGAGCCGCGTCTTTATAAAGAGAAGACTACAAGCAAATCCGGATTTCAGCGTTTGCAGATGAGAACAGCTCTCAGGTAAACAATAATCCTCCTTAGACACGTAAATTATTGTTGTCGCGCGTCGCGTACACTGTTAACCCACACGTGAGTCTGCGCTCTCACAGAGAGAAAATGAAAACGAAACTTCACTGCAGCAAACTATAAAAGCAACACTTCACGCTTGTTTTGCCAACACAACGTGGCGTCTCTGGTGTAAACAGTGACACTAATGAATATTAATGAAGTTGCAAAATAGAGCGCGCTGATTGGTTTGAACCAAGCCTTACTCATGCATTAATGTATCACACTGTAAGACGTAATAAGACACACTCTGGCACAGACGCCCAGTCTGCACGCTGGAATACACGCTATTATGTCATGACCGTGACGCAGCTTCAAAAATTCGTTTCAAACCGGAAGTACGAATTTGCTTGAAATAACACAAAAACAACCAATTTACACTTTTTAGTGAAATATAGGTGTCCTAATAGTGTTTTTAGCAGTGTGGGACACATATACCACTGTCAACAGCTCAAAAAATGTGTTTTGGTGTTTCGTGACCCTTAAAACAAAAAGAAGAATATACAAGGACAACATTGTCATCCCTGATCAGTTTGCTGGAAAAGCAAGTGCTATATATTCTGAGCAGTTCCAACTGGACACAAATACAAACTTGTGGCAATTTTGTCTCATGAAATTACTTGCAAGACATTAAGTGAGCGAAAAGAAAAAAGAAATGATCACTATTCTGAGGATTCATTTGGAGGAACGAGGTCTGAAAAAGGCACCAATTCTACTTCTACAATTCTTCTTCCAAAAACAAATGGTTTTTGGGTGTTATTTTGAAGCAGTTAGCATTTGGTTGGCATTATCACTGTGATCAAGCTTCAACGTGTGCTCTTTCTCAGGGAAAATAAACTCAGTGTTTGAAAAGTGAGTATTTCTGGCAAAAGATACTGGTTCAAACAAATCTTGTGTTTTACACATTTACAGTTAGTCATTTAGCAGATGCTTTTACCCAAAGCGACTTTCAAATGAGGACAAGTAGGCAATTAACACAACTATAAGAGCAACAATGAATAAGTGCTGTAGGCAAGTTTCAGGTGTGTAAAGTCTAAGAAGCAAAACAATAGCAATTTTTTTTGTGTAGTTGTTAGTGGAGGAGTCAGAGAGGCAATTGCAGATTAGGAAGGAAAGTGGAGACTAAATAGTTGAGTGTTTAGTCGTTTCTTGAAGACAGCGAGTGACTGCTGTTTTGATGCAGTTAGGGAGTTCATTCCACCAACTGGGCAGATTGAAGCGAGAGTTCGGGAAAGTGAAGTATACATTTCAGACTCATAGACAGTGTGCCTGACCAAGGTCAATGTTTATGTACGCAATGGCTGTATTCACGTGCTCCACTTGCACTATGAGTTTTGGCTTGTCATTTGCAAGCTGTTGCGTTCTGTCTATTAATAAACCCAAACAAGTATTTAGATATATATATTTTTTTGTTAAAATCGTAACTTCAATTAATAGTGACTTGCCCTAAAGTGGGACTTATTTGAAATATTGTGACGTTTATCCACAGGTGGTCATATTATTTTGAAACCACATGATGTGTTCCAGTTAAATCAAGAGAAAAACGCAGATGACTTATTTATAAATTAAATGAGGTCAGATGAACATAACTATATTAAAAGTGGATCTCTCACAGCAAAAAATAACTTAGTCTGAAGTCAGATAACACAACTAAACTGAGAGCAGACCTGTAATGGCAGGCTGAAGTCAGATAACAAAACTATACCAAAGCGGATCTGTCATGGCATAAAGACCTTAGTCCAAAGTCAGATAAACACAACTGAAAGTGTGCCTGTCAGTGCAAAAAAGAGCTTGGGCTGAATAAGGTAAACAAATAAAGAGCGGACCTGTCATGGCAAAAAGACCATGGCAGATATCAGATAAACACAACGATACCACAAGCGGACCTCTCATGGCAAAAAGAACTCCGGCCAAAGCCTGATAAATACAACTAAAACAAAAGCAGATCTGTTACGGCAAAGAGAACTCTGTCCGCAGTCAGATAAACACAAAATCAAACACAGCCGGACTCAGATGAAGGTGTAGAACCATCTCAAGGATGATCAGAAGAAATGGACAGCACATGAGTTAAATATATGTGTCACTGCAAAGGCTCTAAATCAGGCGGGTCCAAACTCGATTCTAGAGAGCTGGTGTCCTGTAGAGTTTAGCTCCAACCCTAATTAAACACACCTGAACCAGCTAATCAAGCTCTTAAGCTGCGATCACACAAGAGTTTGTGTGCGGAGTTCTGTCGTACGGCGCTACGAAAAGGAGCGGGATTAAAAAAGATGATTAGACATTAAATAAAGCGATTGATTTGCTCCATGTTTTAAATTTCTGTTCAGAGAGGTCATGTTTTGATCCTCTATTGGTCTCACGCAGTCATGTGATGCGATTTTTGCAGGCCAGAGTTTACCAAGCTTGAACTTTGCACCGCAGCAACCTGTGAAACTTGACGCATGACCCTGCGTTTCCGGTCTGACGCATTCACATGCGTATTATTGGAAGTCTATAGAAAAGTACAGTTTGACAGCTTTAATAGACATACTAGCAACTTTCTAGCAGGTGAGTTGAAGCAAGTTAGAGCTAAACTGTGCAGGACACCAGCCCTCCAGAACTAAACTTGGACACCCCTGCTCTAAATACCGAGGACCATGTGACATTTTAGTTTTTCTCTTTTAATAAATCTGCAAAAATGTCAACAATTCTGTTTTTCTGTCAATATGGGTTTCTGTGTGGACATTAATGAGGAAACAAATGAAGTTTCAGCAAATGGCTGCAAAATAACAAAGAGTGAAACATTTAAGGGGGTCTGAACACTCACCGTACCCACTGTATAACCTACAAAAAATGTTTCTAGAGAGGTACTCTATTATTTGTTTTCTTTACAAATAACTATGCACATTACATGTCAAAGTTTCATACTTTAAGTTTTATATACACACATATCATCTGTGATTCATGCATCTCTTTTGTGTATGTGTTTGTGTCTGTGTGCACATCTCTGTAAACATCATCTAGCGTCTTAAAGCAGCTTAACCCATAACACTTTGAAGCGTCCAGCATACTTAAACTTTATTTAAGCTTGTGAAAATACCAAACTAAATAATTATGCTTATTAAAGTCTGTGGTTGACACCCCAAAAAGGGTGTGTATGTGAAACTGAGAAACTAGGAATTTGTGGGAAGCATCTTGCTTTTTTTTCCTTGTCAATGAGAGAAATAAATAGATGCACTGATGATGTTTAGAGGAATTAATTTCTAAAATGGCAAAACATTTTACAACAGGGTCTGAGTTATAGTTTCTGTAAATAGATAGATAGATAGATAGATAGATAGATAGATAGATAGATAGATAGATAGATAGATAGATAGATAGATAGATAGATAGATAGATAGATAGATAGATAGATAGATAGATAGATAGATAGATAGATAGATAGATAGATAGATAGATAGATAGATAGATAGATAGATAGATAGATAGATAGATAGAAATATAGATAGATAGATAGATAGATAGATAGATAGATAGATAGATAGATAGATAGATAGATAGATAGATAGATAGATAGATAGATAGATAGATAGATAGATAGATAGATAGATAGATAGATAGATAGATAGATAGATAGATAGATAGATAGATAGATAGATAGATAGATAGATAGATAGATAGATAGATAGATAGATAGATAGATAGATAGATAGATAGATAGATAGATAGATAGATAGATAGATAGATAGATAGATAGATAGATAGATAGATAGATAGATAGATAGATAGATAGATAGATAGATAGATAGATAGATAGATAGATAGATAGATAGATAGATAGATAGATAGATAGATAGATAGATAGATAGATAGATGAGCAGAGCAGAAGTGGAAAATGGTGACATCTCTAGCAGTGTTGTCATCTGAGTCATTTGCAGCTCATATAAACATGTGGTCACAAACACTATCAGTGTGTGTGTGCGTGTGTGTGTGTGTGTGTGTGTTGGGGAGGTGGTGTTGCATCTGTTTATTAGGCTGAACTCTTGATCAGTCCCATATGTGAACCTCTGTTGCAAAAGCATCATCCCCATGGCTGGGAAACTGTAGCAAACTAAGACAGGATTGTCATCAGCAAATGACAAACGTAACGTTTAGAGTGTGAAAAATAAAGTTCCTCCAATAAAAATGACATT